AATCATTTATTTTAGGATGGACCAGCTAAAATATCAGCAATGGATTGGTCACCAAATGGTAAAAAATTAGCAATTGCTAATGCTGATCAAGTAATTTTATTGTTTGATGAAACCGGAAAACGACGTGATAAATTTGCTACTAAACCGATTGATGCTAAGGTTTATCATTGATTGTCTCATTTTGATTGATTAAAAATATGAAATTAAATTTAAAATTAAATAACAGATATGAATGAAAATAAATTTTAATGATAATATTATCGTTAATAATAATATCTTCTTTAGTGATAATACTATCGTTAGTAATAATATCTTCTTTAGTGATAATATTATCATTAGTAATAATATCTTCTTTAGTGATAATATTATCATTAGTAATAATATCTTTTTTAGTGATAATATTATCATTAGTAATAATATCTTTTTTAGTGATAATATTATCGTTAGTAATAATACCTTCCTTAGTGTTAATGTTATTATTTAAAATTAAGTAAATAACAGATATGAATGGAATAAATTTTAGTGATAATATTATCTTTACTGATAATTATCTTTCTTCTTTACTAATACAATGTTGTATGTAATTTATGAATATCAAATATAATATGAAATAAATTTTAGTATATTAGTATTTCTTTATTGATATAAATCATTTTTAGTGATAAAATTATTGTTTATTTTATTTATTTTACAGTATGGAAAGAAGAGTTATCAAGTGAAAGCATTAATTTTTTCACCTGATTCTACTCGTATTGCTATTGGTCAAACTGATAATATTACTTATGTTTATCGAATTGGTAAAACATGGTAAAATATATTTGATAATATTTTAAATGCAAAATTATCAAAATAATTTTGCATTAATATGAATTATTAATCTTATCACTTATTCAATATACAATAATATTATTTTATAATTATTATTAATTAATAATTAATATTAATTGCGAAAAAATCCATATAATTAATACCAATTAATTTTATGCTTAATTTAGGGATGAGAAAAAAGTTATCTGTAATAAATTTATTCAATCATCAGCTGTAATAGCATTATTATGGCCAAATGAGGATCGTTTAATAATTGGCTTAATTGATGGTAAAGTACGAATTGGTTCATGTCGTAATAATAAATGTTCCACATTGTATAAAACCGATGTATCTGTCATCTCTTTAGCATTTTCGTGAGAATTTCTTTTTTTTTTTTAAATATTTATTAAATTATCGATTTCTAAATATTTTTTTTCCCTATATAAAAATTAAATTTTAATAAATCATAAAAAGTAATTTAAAAATTGTATTTTATACAAATTTGTAAAGTAATTAAATATGGTATTTAATTTTAATTAAAATAATTCTAATTGAATAGTTTTAATTGAATTTCTTAGTGCTAAAAGTTATAAATTAAATTTTGTTTTTTTTTTGATTATTTTATTTTTTACAATATAGAATTAAAAAAAAAATGGGAAGATCTTCTATTTTTTTCTTTTTTTTTGCAAATTTAATTTTTTAAACTTTTTTAACTGCACGGTTTTTTTTATTCCGATTAAAAAAATAATCGATTAGATTTTTAATTTGATCAAAATTAAAAAAAAATGGATTGATTGAAATTCTAATCAGTAAGAAAAACTGTTAATGTTTTGGTTAAAAAATGTTAACATTTACTTCTTATAATTTCAATTCAAAATAGTAATATAATTTTAATTTTATAACCTTAAAATAGCATAATTTTAAAATAGCAGCAAAAATAAATTGATAAAATAATTCATCAAATAGCTAAACGAATTTTGTAGAATTTTTGAATTTAACAATTAATCAATTCCAATTTAATTATAATTCCAATTGCAGAAGTAAAAAAAAATGAAATTAAAACAAATGAATTGTTAAATATTCATCTATATATGTAAAATTTTTCAAATATCTCGCAAGTATTACGCTTATATGAACATTTCATTGTATTTCAAAATTTAATTTTGAAATATTACATAAGAATTATGCAATTTATTGAGTGAGTAATTAAAATTTCCATTTTAAATTAATTTAATTTTTAAAAATATTGCTTAGTTTATTAAATGAGAAATTAAAATTTACTTTTTAAGGCCTAATGATCGTTCATCGTTCATTTCTGGTCACAGTGATGGTTCAATCATTTTATATTCGTTTGATCGACGATTGCAAACAAAAATTTTGACACATACCTGTCCACCGTATGCTTTAGTATATACAAATAATGGTATTGTAATTGGTGGATGTGATCAGCGTATAGTATCATATACAGAAAATGGTGAAATACTACAACAATTTGATTATCGTAATGAAACAGATCATGAAAAGGAATTTACGGTCGCTGTTCGTGACACATTTGGGCAAAGTGTTGTTTTTGGAAGTTTTGATAGGTTTATTATCATTTATTATTTCTTATTTACAAATAATTATGATTTCTTAAGTATTACTATACTTACTAGTATTGACTATTTCCAAGGATTACTATACATACAACTATTACAACTATTACTCTATTTATCAAGTATTACTATAACCTAATAGTATTTACAATTTTCAAATATTGCTATACTTATTGTTTTTAAGTAGTACTATGCTTATTAGTGTTAGTTTTAAGTATTACTATACATACTAGTACCGACTACTTTCAATTATTACTATACTTACTACAAGTAATTCATAAAATGAGATATTTGAAATTAAGACAAGGAATTGTTTTAGTTTTAAGTATTTCATTTTCAAATGATTACATTAATATCTCGTTGATTTTATTATAAATTCAAATATGTTTTATTAAATGATTTTTATTTCAATTTTCGAAAATTTCATATATATGCCAAC